TTTTCATATTCATATTTGTTTCATCGAAATAATTAAATCGAATGAAACTTGTTAATAGTTTCATAAAAATAAATAAATTATTTTATTGCCTTTCTTATTAATGTTTTTAATTATGATTACCGTAACATAAGAAGCTTTAATAAAAAAAAAAAAAGCTTGTGAATTTTAATTATACAGCTAGGAGAAAAAAATTTAATCTGATGATTAAACTATTTAATATGATCAATCAATGTATTTGTATTTCATGTTAAGACATTCTTTTGATCAAAATTCTTGTTCACTATGAATTACTCATGAGATATGCTAAAATCAATTCTTGTGAGAACATTCTATGTCAATGTCAACTAAGATCAACAAAATTTTCTAATATAATATTACATCATACGATTGTCTAATCTATCTTTTTCTTTTATGATATATAATAATTTCATATTGTTTTATGATATTTCTTTTTTTTTATTGTAAATGTTCATGTTCTAGTCGATGACTGATAAGAAAGAGTTTGTGTAATAAATATTAATTAAACATAAAAATAAATTATTTCATATAATATTTTATTTCGACATAAACGTTCATGATCATATATATATATATATAGAGAGAGAGAGAGAGCGAGAGAATTAAAAGAAAAAAGAATAGTTCTGAATTGAAGATTTATGCAAATCTTGTTGGTACACCCCATAAACCAGCAAGATTAGCTTTTGCTTGTGCTCGTCGTTTAGATATTTTATCATAGAAATGTTGAAGATGGTCATGATTATATAAATCATTTAATATTTTTTCAAAATTATCATTATATATATAATCATGATTTTGAACCAAATTTCGATTGTTATCAATCATTCCATCGGATGATTCTTCACCTATGATTGGATTTGCTAAAATTTGATGTGAAACTACTATAACTAATAACTAAATAAAAATAAAAACATATATATATGTATGAAATGAATTCAAACATAAGTTTATATATACTTGTATGCAAATAATTTGAATAAAAGTCATTGTTTGTTTTGCTCTTAGTTTTATAATGATCAGAATTTCTAAACGTACTGAAATGAATTTTTAAAGAAAAAAAAGTACGTGCTTTTATAGTATAGACGATAAAAATTTTTCGTTGCGTAAATCCGTTTTTAAATAAGATTTTTTTGTCTTTGTTTTAGATGAAAATCTGAATATAATTAATCCGAACGGAAATTATGTTTGTAAAAAGAAAATAACAAAATATATTTTATATTAGATATTATTCATTCGAAATTTTTTCTCATAGTTTAAAATAAAAAAAAAAGAAAACGAAAACGAAACTTATATGTATATCATTATAGGATAGAAAATATCTATTCAATATCTTGATACTTCTAAGACGAGAATAGACATACTTAAATCTTAATTATAGTATATGAAAATATTGAAATTGAGTAGTAAGCAATCGAATAGTTATTTTCTATAAAAACAAAAAATCAAGATCTCTTATTTTTCAATCAATAGTAAATGAATAAATATTTATCTTTTGCTTTCGAAGAATTTAAGTGGAATGTTTTATCAATATTCAAATACATTCGTTTATTATCATTATTTTTGTTTATTTTATTTTTCTTTAGTACAAAGTAGAATATCAATTTTCTGATAACGAAATTCTTTCTAAAATATTTGCATGATAATTAGTAGATTTCCTTTGTACGAACGTCACTATTCATCGTAATTATTTTTTCTTTTTATTACGTATGTAATACTATAGTATAAAGAAAAAAGATTATATATGAAATTATAATTTTCTTCATTCAAGTGTTAACATATAATGATTATGTTCATTTTGACTTGTGTGCTACTCTGCCATACTCATAAAAAAAAATATTTGACCGATCTTGTTTAAGTAGTAATGACAAACAAAATGAATAAGAGGAAGGAAAAAAAAAATTTGACCACCCTCAATAGTCGTTATTTCAAGTTCATGTCTTCTTCTTTCTTCCTCATTTGCATTTATTCTATAGAAATCGTCATTGTGTAGTGAACAGCTGTTGAGCTTCCATATACATATATGTATGTATATGAGACGAAAAGTAATATTAAGATATAGATAAACAACAACAAAAACTAATAGCAACCTTTGTCTTGACCAGCATGACATCGGTCATCTCTCATCAATATGAGATAAGAGGATGTGATGAGATGATGATTACTCATCAAATTTGCCTAGCAGACGTATGCCAGTCTAGTGATAGAGAACGGCGCATGTCTATCGCTTTCATTCACCCTTTCATCACACTTGATTGAGTGTTATTCATCTTTATAAATGATATCGAATAATTTAGTTTTCATTTTCTTTTTATGAAAAAGAAAACGAAGTGTTGAAAAACATATAATAATGAAATTCAACAAGATCGTTTTTAATCATTGTATATTTAATGATACGCAAAAATCGTTCGCCTTCAGTGCAATATATATATATATATAAATGAATATATATATTTTATTTTACTGGCACATTACTAATCGTCCTGAACAACGTTCGTTGCCGTCGTCATCGTTGAAAAGAACGATGGTTGTTGTTGTTTCTACTATTGCTTTCTCTATCTCACGGTTGATTATGTAATATGATGTGTAATTATGTTAAATGAAACAATCTCGAGACCTTACACAGAACGGGTTTCTTTTTCACAGCAATCAATTCAAGTTCTTTTGTTTTCAATTGCAATATATATATTGATGGATAGTGTGATGAAGGAGAGATATAAAGACATGAAGACATATATATATAGTCAACGGAAATAATAGGGATTTATGGTCTCTTTCTTGTCAAAGGAAATCGCGCGTGTACAATATGATGATGATGATGATGATGATAATTACAAAGGGACAATCGACTACTTTGTTCTTCCGAGCAGAACAGTAATGAACTATCAGGCTCGTTTGTCATTTAACCATCTTGTATCGTTGTTCTTTTTCTCTGTCGCTCTCTTTCGTTCTCATTTGGTCTTTTTTCTCACTATATATATATATATACATATATATTGTGTATAAGCATTGAGATAATTGTTCTTTGTCATATATAACATAGTAAAAGGAAGGGGCGTAGACAACGTCAATTGATATTATGCATGTAGGGATTTCTTTTTATCTTTGATGCAACAGAAAAGAATCTTTTCTTACACTTTGTAAATGTATGAAAAAGAAAAAAAAAATAGTAGGTAAGGGTATTGATTTAATAATGAAACTGATTAAAATAGAATAATAGACCTTGTACATGTCGATCGGATAAAGAGAAGAAGAATAAGAGTTGTGTATACACAATGACATACACTCATAAAAACAGTTTGAAAAGGTCGCTTGTTTGGTACTAATGTGTTCTTGAATGAGTAAGTCACTATATAGTTGAATATAGGACTCATGCTGTGACCACTAAATATCTAACAAAAGAAATTTTTTTGTATGATAGAAGGACAATGACTGGTCGTATGATCTACATTCAAGATTCAAAGTATTCTCAAAAACAAAGGAAAAAAGAAAAAAAGAGGTAATATGTTAAAGATCAGTTTTTTTTTCTTCTCAATTATTTTTCTCATTGTCAATTATTACATAATTTTCATCTCAATGAGAAATTGACTGACATCAGTTAATCAGAATTAGCAGACTGATTGAGTTTGTATGACATCCAAAATGTAAAGAGATAAGAACCTTGGATATTGTTGGTTAAACAAACACATACATAAAAAAAATAGAGCATGATACGATATATACTAGAAGCTTATTCAGAAGCTTTTATTCGTGCTCATTTCTTTTTTGCTCTTTTAATAATCGAATATATATATATATGTATAAATATTTCATGAGTATCAAGAGACGTATATAAATATAAACTTATATTGCTCCTATCAAGATTCATTCTTTTCTTTGCATGTTTAACTCTCAAGCAGTAAAATATAAGTTACTATGCTTAAGGATAGTCAAATTGTTTGCATTTGCATCGAAGGTGAAGAGATATTTGTTTGTAGCGTTTTTTAATACATATACAAAAAAGAAAGTAGGTTCAACTACTTCTTTGTCGTTTTTCTTTTTCTTTACATATCTTATTGCATCATATATGCCATCGGTACCGAACCAGATTTCTTTCTTTTCATCGTTTTCTTCATCTTCTTCATTTTTTTCCCTTTCTAGTCTCCTCCGATTTTTTCTTCTTCTATGCTTTTCATGTTCAACATGCCCTATCACAAACTAAAAAAAAAGTAAGTAAGTGAGCTCATAATGCTTTGACCAGAGGTCAGCAGCAGCACGACGCACGACTCAAACACTTATAGAAGGGTGGGCGGACACAGTAAAGAAGAAAAAAAAAGACGCTGCACCAGCAGCACAGTAGCAAGAATAAGAAGAGAACAAGAAGAAAGAATTCTTCCATTTGGTCTCCTTCTCTTACTGTCTCTCTCTCTCTCTCTCCCTCCTTCTTACTCTCTCTATCCACGACTTTGCTCTACAATCGTACATGCATCATACCCACGTACAATTCATCGCCAGTAACGATATAGATAGGCATAGCAGTAAGACAGATACAATCAGTCATTCAGCTGGAGGTACCATCATGTATGTATATTATGTGAAGAACACAAGGAAATAGTCTCTAAAGGTTTGTTATAGTGTTATTGTCTGTTTTTTTCTTTTTTTTTTTTTTTGCTAAACCAAAATATCTCGTTAGAAATTGATAGATGAAAAGAAAAAAAAATATAAGTCGAAAGCTATAAGATCACGTCTTTCAACTTTTATGATTACGACACACAAGTTTCAAGTTGTTGTCACACGAGATTGAATAAAACAAAGAATTCGCTTTGAAATTTTGACCACTATACGATAAGATTACCCTTCGAGCTATCAAAATCGATGAAATCATTGAATATCAATACTCTCAACTTTATTGTGTCATCATATCAGAAGAAACCAAAAGAAAAACGACGAAAAAAAAAAATGTTTCTTTTAGTTTTCTTTTATGTTTTTTTCATATTTATTTTAGTATGGCTTCAAATCGTTTTGGATACATATGTGAAAAATCATTTTATTTACATCGTATGAATGATTGTGATGATCTTGATTTATATTATCAAAAATTTTTAAATAAATTAAGTAAAATATGTTTAAAAATATTTCTTCCATTATTACCATTAATTTATTTATTAACATTATTTCTTTGTCGTTTATTATTATATAATCAATTAATAATTATATTTGATTTACGTACAATACTTTATTTAATAGGAATTTTTTTAACATTCATTTTATTATTTCTTATACGTTTACATACAAAATGGAAAACACTTTGGTTTTGTACAAGAATTTTTTTAATATTACTTTTAATTATTCCATTATTATTAACATATCAAACAGAGCAATATCATATATTATTTTCAACAATATCAATAACACTTATTTATTCATTATTAACATTTACATTAATACAATCATTAATTATTTGTTCGACTATATCATTATTACATATAAGTTTATTAATAAATCAAAAAAATCAAATACAATGGAAAAGTTTAGAATTTTTATCAATAATTTTTTATCATTTTATTATAAATATATCCGGTCTATATACATATATAAGATCATTAAAACATATACGTCAACATTTTCATGCATATGAAATAAATTTATATGAAAAAAATAAATTAAATGTTGATTGTAAAAAATTAAATACAATTATTGGACATTGTCAACAAACACAACGTTTTATTGGACGTTTGTCCAAATTATCTAGTGGATTTAATATTAAGTAAGAGAGATTTTTCTATTTTATTCAATAGAATTAGTTTTTAAATATAAGAATATAAAAAAAAAGAGAGAAAAAAATTCAGTAAATGAACAACAGCTTGTAGTAATGTATGTGTACATGACATTTTCTTACGGTATTCTAATCAATCGACCTTTTAATAAAAATGAATCTCAATTAGGGTGTCATTTTTATCATTATTATTTTTTTTTCTATTACACACTTGCATCATATGTAATTTTTCTTAATGGAAACTATTATCAAAAGATTTTCTTAATGTATTATTTAGATCAATGAGTTCTTTCTTTCTCTTATTCTATTAGAAATGATCGTACATTAATATAGAAGTTTTGCTTATGATTGTTATTGATAAAGGGCAAAAATCTATCATAGAATTGATCAATAGTGAAAGACATGACAAGTTTATAAACAGATAACAAAATGTTTAGTAGATGTTATATAATACAAACAATACATTTAAAATTATCCTAATGTTCTTTGTCTATTCTTTTATGTAATAACAGCTTTCATTATTAAACAAGATTGTACATATTAGGATGTTTCTTTTATATGAAAAATATCTATATGAGAATGTTTAAATTCATTTTATTCTTATTTCTTAATTATAGATAGGAATAGAATGTGAAAAGTATACTAATTGTTATATGTATTAGTATAAGTACTACATTACGACATTACAAGACAGAAGTATTAGTCTTTATGATTGTTATGTATGCTATATATCATCTTCAGAGCAAGAAATTAGCCATGAAAACCATAATATAAAGAAATACTTGAACAAAAATTTGCAAAACAGACACTAAGTATCTATATATAAACTCAATAGTTTATTTAGTATGCAAATTGTAAGAACGCTGATCTTCTTCTGAAGATCGAGTTCATTCGTCACTAGAATCTATGATTATTGTAACACATACCTATGTGCTTGTACTTCCTCAAGAAAAAAGAAAGATATTTGTCCTTCTAAAGTTTAAAATCACTTCGTCAAAAGAAAAAAAAAAGAAAGAATCTGAATACAGTATTGCATAGGTTGATGTAAAATTGCCAAAAACTAAAACCTTGAATGACAAAGCAAAATCTGAATAGACTTATCAGCTAGGAGGCTTTACCATATTTATATTTCGATAGTGTCAATATACCAAAGGCGACATATTGTATACTTTTCTACATGTTCTAGAATCGATTCGACCTATTCAGTACTTGTAATAATAAATAGACATAGTTCTTAACGATTTACCATATGTTTTATATCAACTTAATTAGTTGATTATTTACTTGAAACTTCTCAATAAACTTAAGTATGATTTTCTTTATTAAATAAAAAAAAAAAAGAAAAATTCAAATTGTTTTTTTTTTTCTTCTTTGTACATTTATTTTTGAAATAAAATTAAAAATTTGAATTATTATTATAAAATTAATTCTAGTAATCAATCAAATAATATTAATCAAAAATTTGGCACTGTAATTAATTGTAATTTATCATTAAATGAACAAACACGTCTTCATACATGTGATGAATTAGCATCATTATTTGATGTACTCTATTGTCAAATTGAACAATTAATATTGAAACAACAACCTCAAGCAAAATATTTTTTTGATAATGAAACAATAATTATAATACTTTTAAATGATAATGATAATGAACAAATAAATATAGATAATAGCTGTCGTTTAGCTATAGAATTATTTCGTTTTATACAACATGTTAATAATGTTACACAATGGTGTTTAACAACAATAATAGCTATTGATTATAATGAATTAAATATTTTATCATCCGAATATATCCAAGGTTTAGCATATGACTATGCACGATGGTTACGTGATGAATGTCTTATTATTAATCGTATACATGTATCATCAAGAATATATAATTCATTAAAAGAAAATAAATTTTATGAATTTCATTCATATACGTGGTTAACAAATAAAAATTTTCTTGGAAATAATTTAACATATTTTTTATTTAGTACAAATATGTATGAATCACATAAAAATTTAATAACATCAATAAATAATTCTAGTATGATTGATCAATTAACACGTATACAAGCACAATATCATGTTGAAAAACATTTAGGTACAATAACATTAACACGTTCATTACGTAAACGTAGTTTAATTGAATTAACAACAAAACATCTTTATTGGTTTAGTTTAAATTTTAAAGAACAATATTTAATGAATGATCAAAATTTTAATTATGATTTTCAATTAACACATCGTTCAACATATCCAAATTCTTTTATTTATATTTATATATTATTTATTTTAATTGGTTCATTATGTCAATCATATGTTATTAATCATTTAACAATATATTATTTAATATTATTTCCAACAATAATTATTGGACTTATTTTATTAATTATTATATTTATTTATTCAATACGTTCAGATCAAACACAATTAAAATTTAATAATAATAAAATTAATAGAAAATTTTATGTTTATTTAAATATACTTATTTGTTTAACATTATCAACAATATTTATTGTTGCTACACAATATCATTCAGTACAAAATTTTAATTATTTATTTAATTTAAATGAAGTTGTTAATAAAACAATAATAACTTCAATAATGAATGAATCATCTAGTCAAATTAATTCAACTTTAAATAATACGATAATCAGGTTAGAGAATATATATTTAAATATTAAATTAATTTGAAACAATACTAATACTCGTTGAGATTTATCTCAAATCCAAAAGTTTTAAACTTGAGAAATACATATTGAATTTGATTATAGATTTAAAAATTATGTTAACTTCAATGTGGTTGTCAGTATTACAATTTTTCGAAACTTGACTTTTTGATGTCAGACGATTTACAGAACAAATTTTAAAAACTATGCTGTGATAACTTAGACTCATATTCAAATTCAAAAGTAAAATCAGTACTATGGTTCATCATTCTTTTCTTGACACTAAAAACTTCTCATCTTATGAAAAATCAAAGTTATTCAAAAAATAATCACATAGATTATTTTCTTTTTGAAAATAACAATAGTTTTATTGAATATTCATAGTTTAAGACACTTATATTAATTGATATTTGAATGTATTAAATTTAGATAAACGATAAAGATTAAAAGATATAAATTAAATTAAATTCATTTGATTTTTTTTTCTGGCAGATAATTGACTACTACAATTGTAAATATTTTGAATTCTGACAAAAAACATTTTTCTAAAGAAATCTCGAATATCTCTATCTAGAAATCTAAATATATTTAAATTATATTTGAATAGAATTTAAATCGATATTGAATATAATTAATTTTATTTCATGTTTAAGTTTATTTTCAAGAAGAAGAATATTAGAGATTAATTCAATAAAACAAAAATCTAGCATAATGATCAGAGATGGGCAACCCCGGTTGCCGGCTCCGACGAAAATTAGTGAACCAGCGACCCAGGACAGATTATACATACGTCGAATTTAACATCATTCGACGCAGAAATGTTTGCTCTTTTCAGCTATATATTTAACTTAACTGCTGTCTTTTGTTGAGAAGAGTATTCGTTGAAACAAAGTCGTCGGAGCCGATCGAACTCAGCTCCCGTTCCGACTACCGGCTTCAACAACTTTGTCTCAATGAATACTCTTCTCAATGGAAGACAAGGGCCATGCTAAATACATAGCTGGAAAGAGCAAACATTTCTGCGTCGAATGATGTTAAATTCGACGTATATATAATCTGTCCTGAGTTGCTGGTTCACCAACTTTCGTCGAAGCCGGCAACCTGAGCTGTCCATCTCTGATAATGATATTAACATCTTATAAGTAATTCTAGAAAATAAATTCATATACTATTTTGTCTATCAAATCTAATATTAAATATTTAATTTGTTTAGAATATCGTCATCATTTGATCGTCAATATCATGATTATCTTATACTATCTCCAATCTATGCACTTTATTTATGTTCAATATATCATCAATGTTCATGGATAATAAAAACATTTTTTATAATAATTTGTTTAATTGTTCAATTATGTTTATTTGAATATATATGGTTAACAACAAATATATATTTTCCATCTATACATCCATTACATCATTATACAACATTTACATTAATTATATTTCATAGTTTTCTTTTAATAATATCTTCATATGTTCGTGAATGGTTAGAAAAAATTGATTTTATTTGGCTTAAACAAATTGATAATGAACGTTTAATTATTATTCGACAACGTGATGAACTTATTAAACAAATATCATTATATTTACCATTACGTGTTATTAATTATTATTTACGTAATGATTCTGATTTAGTATTATCACAACATTATCATATTAAATATGATCGTATGGCATTATTATATATTCATTTTTTACCATTAAATATTGAACATGAATATTTACTTATAAATTATATTAATGATATTGAATATTTATTAAAAAATAATGATAAATATATTGATATTGTTATACATAAAAAATCAACAATTAAAGAAATAATGTTTTCAATTGATATAAATACAGATGATTCAATAAAAAATCTTCAACAATTAGTTGAATTATTATTTCAAATTGATGAACGTTTAAAACAAATATCATCATCAACAATAAATCTTGCTGCTTGTTTACATATTGGTTGTGTACATGAAATATTAATACATTTTGAAAAATCACTTAAAATTGATCTATGGAGTGAACATATTACACTTTTACAATCACTTATTAGTAAAACACAAGTTAATCATTGTATAACAACTGCACCAATATATCATTTATTAAATGATCTTTATTTATTTCGTACAGCTGGTTCAATTGTTAGTACACAAATTCATACGGCTAATAATACAAATATTTATTATCTACTTGGTCGTCTTATTGGAGATAATGTCTTTCAGGTAAAATATGAAAAACAAAAAAAAAGACTTTAAAAAGAAAATATTCAATATATTATTAAATAATTTATTTGATAAGTATCATCGATTGAAAAATATTCTAGAATCATTTTATTTATAAAGAGTCATTCATTTTTCGAAAGTTGAGATCAATGTAAATTTCACACAAAGTCTATGAAGAAGATCATCAAGTTCATCAATTTGATATAAAGATGAATGAAACCGAAGGTTCATATTTGATGATCTTCTCTCGTAACAACATCGAAAAAGAAAGTTTACTGAGCTCAAAACGTTCAATCCTATATAAACTCTTTCCGGATGATAAAGTTTATTTAAGTCAAATAGCAATAATTTATTAATATTAATTTTTCAATTATGAAGAAATCTATGAAATATTATTTATTCTTTTGTTTTTTGTTTTTTTCAGGGTCGTAATGCTCTTCCATTAATAATAGGTCATACAAATGTAGGTACTGTTCAAAAATCTTCTAGTACAGACGATTCTCATCATTCCCAATCATCTGAACTTCATTGTAAATTAAATTCTCAAAAAGAACAAAATCATACGCAAGCATCAACAACAACAACAACAACAACTACATCATCATCAATCGCTCTTAATGAACAACAAACACTTCTTAAACAATCATCATCATCATCATCATCTCGTAAACATGTACGAATATCAAATCATCTTTCATCAATTGAAAATCCTTCCTATCGTCAAACACTTTTACAAGCATTAAATGCAACAACTAAAACTAATATTAATAATAATAATAATAATAATAATATTCAACATCAAATAAGTCCTATTAAAAAATTATCTAATCGTTTAATAACAAAAAAACATACACCATCACCAATAGCAAAAGAATTTTATGTACCACGTATGACACATTTAAGTGATAATAGTTGTTGGTCATCAAGAGAAGCCATGATACAATCAGAAACAAGTGGAAGTAAATGTTTAATTTTAACACAACAAATGCTAAATGGATCAACAGGTAAAAAAAGAAAATTTTTTTCTTACACTTTGTTTTTCATTCATAATGCTTATTTCTTTTTATTTTTTTGTGTATCGTAGATGATAATAGTCGATGTAAATCAACACCACCACCACCACCATCATCAACTCGAATGTCATCATCAAATCGTCATTTATCAATTGAACGAAAAAGTTTTACAGAAGAAGATTTTCGTCAATTACTTCAAGAACAATCAATAAAAGATATTAACAATCCATCTCGAAGTTTATCAATAACAAATGAAGAAACAACATCATCATTTTCTGGTTGGGATGATATACCATCATCACCATTACCAAGTGTTAAATCTAATCATGTAAACATTCAACAACAACAACAACAACAAGAATCTATTAAACCTACATCATCACCACTTGTTGATTGTTATTATCCACGTCGTCCATGTGATTTATCATTTACAGTTAATATGACAACAATTGAAGATGATAATAGTAGTCGAACTGATGCTAAATCAACAGTTATTGCTTCACCATCATCAACTGTTGTTACAATTACTTCGCCACCACCACAGCCTCCACCACCATCATTACCATCACCACCACCACCACCACCACCACCGCCGCCGCCGCCACCAATACAACCGCTCCAACCAACACAACCATTATCTATTACTAAACCAACTGTTATTACATCTCAATCCCAACAACAAATTCCAAGGTATCGGCCAGCACCATTTAATTTAGCACGTAAATTAATAGCTGAAACATCTGAAAGTGCTCTCTCAGAAATATCTATTGAACATCAACATGAGCCGTGGACACAAAATAATGCTTATCAATCAAAAGATCCTCAACGAACACGTCTTTCATCAAGTTATAGTAATTTACATGACTTTTTACAAACAAATGACTCATCAAAGTAAATTAAAAAAAAAGAAACAATTATATTTTATGGTTATTTGTTTTATAAATATTTCTAGATATCGTCCTAAACAAATTCAATCACCAACAATAATTCATGGTGATTTATTACAACGTTGGCTTGAAGATCAACTTAATCTATTTCGATATCAAGTTAAACAAACTCCATCATTAATAACAAGAAAAACGAATCGATTTTCAAATACTATTGTTATTAAGAATGATTCAACAGATGATGAGTCTGATACTGTTAGTGAACATACATTTACGGCTTTAACAAATCAATCAAGTTTACAATCAAAATCTACATCATCAAATAAACGTCCATATAATCATGTCAGATATAAACCATTACGAAAAAATTCAACACCAGCATCAAATCTTATTCGACATGAATCTCTTAAATATCGTAATAGACCATTATCATTTGAAAATAATCCTCAATTAAATAAAACAGTTTATAATTATCAATCAAATTCAATTAAAAGACCTCCTCATCGAACTGATTCTTCATCAATGCCTCGTTCAGATTTAAGTGATATATCATCATCTAGACCAGATAATTTATCTGAAAGTATTATATCAAATCTTGAATCTGAATATGATAATATATATACTCAACCAATAAATTCAAATACAACAACAACCATTATGACTAATTCACAAATTATAAGTGATGAAGATGATGATGATGAAACTACTTTAGCAACAACAATAGCAACAAATAATCGATGTTACTTTTAAATAGTTGTGTTTTGTTTTTGGTCATTTTCTGTTTTCGCTTTTTTTTTCTTTTTTTTTTTTATATATCTTTGATGTGTTGTCATTAAAAAAAATAAATGTATGCTTAATAGGATATAATAATTAAAATATACATAAAAAGAAAATTCGAGTGGATTTTATTTTTTTATTAATTTTTATATATGGTTCGATAGAACTTGAAGAGTTGTTACTTTCGAATACATAATTTTTTATTTTAGTTAAGTTATTCCTTCGCTGCAAAAAAACTTCAAATATTTTCAATGCCACATATATAAGCAAAATCATATTTTACTCGAAAGACTTCTTAAGTTTTCATAATCTTTTATTTTTTCTCAAGTTTTTGAAGATAGTTATTTTTTCTAGTTCATAATTAAAAATTCCGTAGAAAAATATTATTTTTTCTAGATATAACATAACTTAAATAACATAAAATAATGCTATCAAGATATTTATAGACCTTTTTGTAAACATGTCTACATTCTTTGACAGAAGATAAGACCTAATTTTTTTCTCTCATTGGAATGAGGGAATTTGTAGCGAGAAAAGTACTCATTTTGTTATATTATTGAGAAAATCGAACATTTCCTTGTTTTAGTAGTTTACAGACTGACAATAGTTTTGTTCATTGAAGTTTCATAGATCAAAACTCAATTCAAAAACAAACTCAATTATATATCCAAAGTTAACATGAAAATCTATATCGAATTGCATATATTTCAGCAAAATCTATGTCAAATAGAAAATTGCTGAGAGAGAATACAAGTTCGTTAGTCGTCGTTAAGTGATTTTCTTAACCTTCCACCCACAACAGAGCCTAAAGTGATGTAGTGTTGATTACCAGTAGCTTATCAATAGTGTAAGTAATTAAAACTATACATAAGATAAAGTACCTAATACAATGCGTAAAGACCATATGAATCATGAGCAACATTTTGCACAGCATCGAATCACTTTGTTGTACAAGAAAAGAGGATACACCATCAACAAATCAGTTACTTGATATGTGTAGAGTAGAACAGCATTATATCAGCATGGTTCTGTGGGAGGGAAGACTAGCATAATGCTAATTCTAGAAAAAACAAACATGTTGCATTTTCCACCATTTATTGCCAACTAGCTCTTCAAGTTCTATCAAACTATATATATAAGTCAATGAAAAATAAAATTCACTCGAATTTTTCATTATGTGTACCTAATGTTATTAAAGTATACAATCATTGATAGATGTCAGTATTTTTCTTTTTATGTGCGACCTATCGTCATATCTAGATATTCTTCTGAAGAGAAAATAAGCAAACCGTTCTGTTCGCTCCAAAAGGAAGATAAAAATCCGTCTGGTTAAATAAATTTTCTTATTCTTCGTCGAGAAAAAGAAAAGAGTAGATTGTATGACATCCTTCATTCTTGCTTCCTATCGTACATGCTGACGTCGTTTTTTCCTTGTGTTGATATGAGCAACGGCCGATTTGGCATTTTTTTTTCTGCTAGATCACTCATATGAAACCATCCAATCAAAATCTTTTCCTTCATGTTAGGAACATTCTTTTTTTTTTGCACGTATTACTTATCTATTTAAGAATATATTCATATCGACATTGACTTATTATTATTATTATTATTATTATTTTATTCAAATATGGGTTGTTGCAAATCAACACAATATGGTTGTTGTATTGCTATTGATCATGATGAATCAATAATACTTAATAAACCAACAGGTAAAGAAATTCGTTATGGTCCTGGTTGGTTTTGTTTTCCAAATTGGTGGGATGCACAAGTTATGAAATCTATACCATTACAAAATAATCAATATATTATTGTTAAACATATTATTGATACAGATGATAAAAATGCATTTCATGCACGTAATGATATACCATTAACACAACGAACAACTACAAATGAAAAAGATGAATTATTAAATGATTCTGAAATGCATTTAATTGAAATAATTCGTGGACCACAAATATATAAACTTAAAAATCCTTATGATCGTTTAAGTGAAATAAAATCAATGATTAATTTATCGGCAACACAATATATTTCTGTAGCAGATAAATTAACAGGTGTAAAACGAGTTGAATGTGGTCCACAATTATTTTGTCCTAAACCATATGATGAACTTGGAGAAATCAAAAATTTGTATAATCTATCATCAACAGAATATCTTATCGTTACAGATCAATCAACTGGTGAAAGAGCTACAATCAATGGTAAGAATGAGAAACATGAAATTGATTGAGAACATGATATATATATACAGACAATTTTTCAAGATAACTGCTTCAGAAAATACAAAGAGGATTTTTATCAAAGAAAAGATCTTCGATTTAATGTTCGTAGTAGTATTGTTCATATTAACTGATTATTAGAACTATGTGAGTATATTAACTGAAAAAATGTTTCGTATGATAGATGGCGTTAATTTGTGTTAGGTACAAGAAGATTAGGATATATGATAATTTGAACTATTATGTATAGGTCGAACATACTAAGTATTGACGAAAGTACTTCTTCAACTGTTCTCTTTCAATTTCAATGACCTTTTGCCTGTAGATAACACATGCTGTTCTAATAAACAGGTTTTTGGAAAATGCATATTTGCAAATTTTGATCTGGATATGAAACTTTCGAGATATAGATTCTTTTCCATAAATTTAGTTAGGTTCTCTGTGAGTGCAAAGTTTCGAATCAAAATTTGATTAGCTAAATTTCAATAGGAAGCGAAATTCTTTTCAGATTTTTATTGTGATATTATTTAGTATCTATAGACAAACATTCATTGAAATCAGAACAGGACATCTGAAGACATTTCCTTATTAGCTTCTATATACGTGAAAATTGAGGCATTAGAAATAATAATGTCGTTTATTGTTCTGCAATGATATAACAACATACTATGTTGACGTAGGACAACATAGCGATAGAAACATTGATATGAAAGAAGCACATAAAGTAAAGGCTTTTCTGAAGTCAAATATTACTTTTTCTATACTACTGTCATTGTGGGACAAAGTCTTAAATAGATGTCTATCTAGTAATAGATGTTGTAATAATTTCTTTGAATATGAAAGACGTTTATATAGATTCACTTTTAAGTCAATTCATTATTGCTAGGATTTCTACTAGTATGTAAGTCATCATTGTATGGTTTCTAGATTAATTTTAGTTTGTGTTTTACGAGAATGGATTTAGAAGGAACTTTTTAGAAATTTCATGAGATCGAAACAATGTTTTTTTTTTTGTTATTGAAAAATATCATCTTATCGTATGAACTTGTTCGAATAAATCTGATTTCGAACTTCAAAGATTCGTATTTTTATTATGTTTACTTCTGTAATAATTTCACAAAATATTACAGAACAAAACTTTTAAATATTCTTGATTTCTTCAAACTTTTATAAATAATACTCAACGCTTCCAAAATAATCAGTACGTAAATCGAAAATTATTCTTTCTGAAAAAATTCTATGAAACAAGAATCAAAATTTTGACAATTATTTAACTTCTCTTGTCATTCATATAGTTACATGTATAGTGATTACTACAAAATATTAGTACGCTCTCCATTACCTTTTTATTTTTCTACTATTGAAACTCCTCTAGCATTACTACGTCTATTGATTGTAACCGCTAATTGCTTTTTCTTTCTCTCTCTCTCTCTCTGTCTGTCTTCTATGTGGAATATACCACGACTGGGGTGATAAAGTAATCTAATTAACATATGTCAAGAGAGCGGTGATAATGCTGCTTCAGGCGTTTGTTTTTCTATGTTTCAAAAACATCCACTTAATACAAATTTCGACAAAAATAAAACTTAATTTCTATTTTTTGTTGTTGTTGTAAATAATCGTGCTCATCCAAAAGGGATCCATGGTAAATCTTTTATTATTATACAAGCAATGGATTGAAATTAGACGAATTATATTGTTGCTTTCTGTATGTTATAATAGTGATGTTTGATTTGATTTATTATTAAATCAATATCTTTATGAATTAGTTTTTACATCCATCAATTTTTTTTTTATTATCTCTATTGATAGTTCATTTATAAAACTAGCTCATTTATATGATTATTATCATTGATCAACAGTTAATACACTCTATGCAAATAAATGCTTTTAATCATGCAAATTTTTTCAATCCATATTTAATCTTGTCTGACAAAATGTGAAATAGTATCAAATACAGACTTATTTGTGTTGAATATATAATGAATTTCTTTTTTTGTCAATTAGTAGAGTAAACCAGAATGAATGCGATATATTGCAAAAATTAATTTTCATAATTTACTTCACTTCATTTAAAAAAAAGGTGTTTGCATAATTCTTTACATGATTAAAGTGTGAAGCTTGATATTGCTGTTGTTCCTACTTATATGAATATTGTTTTATTTTATCTATGTAGAACTACATTTTTGTATCATCCTTTACTTTATACTCAAGAATTGCAATTAGAAAATGTTATAGTAACAATGACTGTCACCGTCTCCCATTAATATCTGTTACAATCTATAATGACATTTGGAGTCTGGAGACGGCCTGCCACAACTTGTAGGAAAGGACTCAAGACTGGGTACAAATTTTCACCCTATATATTTTAAAACTGCTTTTAGAATGTATTTCACAAAGTGTAGAACAAAATATGAGAATATTTCATGAAGTTTAATATTATTATATTTATTCATGTATGAGTTTTTGATTAGTTCTATATTGGTATTTGAATAGAAACAATTAAAAAAAATGTCGTTTGCTTTCCTTCGTTTCGAATATTGCACATTGTTTTTTTTTTATATATAATGAAATATCCGTAGAAATACATCAGTCTGCAAAGTAGGTCTACAATAATTGATTAATATAAAAATCAGTCAAGAAAATTACAATAAAAGAACAAAAGTTTTCGGTTGTATAATGGCAGATGTAAGATATAGGTCTTTTTGCACCTACCACATATCAACATCCAATATTTATGTTCTCAAAATG